ACTGAGCCATTATCCTTGACGACACACACCAGGATAATCTTGTTTTCCCCAGTGTCAGAACTGATGTCTCTCTCTCTCTCTCTCCTCCCACCCCCTCCCTCTCTGTCATATTTCCCTCTCTCTCTCTCTACACCCCTCTCTCTCTCTCTCTCTCTCTCTCTCTCTCTACACCCCCCTCTCTCTCTCTCTCTCTACAGTACACCCCTCTCTCTTTCTATTTCTCTATTTCTTACCTTGTTATCTCCTCCATCTTTCTTTTCCATTGTAATTATTTCTTTACTTGAGAGAAAAAAATTATCTTACGATCATATTTTTGTATGAATTTTAGATGTGGTTTACCTGCTTATCACTACCCACTCCTCCACTACCCACTCTCTCACTACCCACTCCTCCCCTCCCCACTCTCTCTCCCCAACACCACTCCCACCCCGTGTTAATCTTCTTTCCTCCCCTCCTCACCCCGTATTAATCCTACTCACATGGAACAAATGGCCAGTAAGAGGAGGAGGAGGAGAACTAAAATGACAGTAAATGGCTAATTAGGCTTTTTGACCTCGTTAATGGTCGTTAGTGATGAAAAGAAAAGCTGAGGATTTCGATCGGTGAACACATGTCTATTTTGTGTTTAGCATTTATCTCCTCTTCATCTTCCTCTTCCTCCCCCTCCTCTTCCTCTTCTTCTTCCTCCTCCTCCTCTTCCTCTTCCTCCTCCTCCTCCTCCTTCTTGCGTCTCTATCTTGTGCCGGATCTATCGCCCTATCCAAATATTTTTCCCTCACACTTTTCTTCAATTTCTTCTTCTTCTTCTTCTCCTTTCATTTCAAGATTTCTTCCCTATTTACTTATTCTCATTCACTTTCTATAGTTTTCTCCCACTTTCTCCTTCCTACTTTTATTTATTTCATTTCCTTTTCTTTTATATTTACATTTGAATTTATCTTTTTTTTATTCCTTTCTTTATGTCGGGATTTTCTTAACGTCTTGAGTTGGGGATTTTCTTAAACATCTCTGGTTTAATGTTTTTAATTCTGTAGGTTTAAGGCACTTGGGATTGTCTTCGGGATTTGAGATTTTATATTAAATATTTTTTGTATATTTGGATTTTTTTCACCACATTTGAGTTAGGGATTTTTTTTAGGTCTTTTTTATAGGTTTAACTGACTTGGGGATTTTATTCAGCCTTCAAGCTTAAAGTCTATTGTATATAAGGGATTTTCTTTACATTCTCTATTATAAATTTTTGGGGGATTTAGGGATTTTATTAAAAGTCCTCTTGAATAAAAAAAAAAATCCGGGTTAAAATACTCCTAGGATGTTCCCCAACGACTGACTAATCCTACTGGTTAAAATTATTCACCAGTTTCATATACAACTATACACAAAAATATACGATATACACATTACCCAGAGGCAAGAAACCATCATTAAAATACCCCGAGAAAGGTCGTAAAGACGGCATTATATCTATTATTCTTACATTATACTCATTATACGCATCATATACTCATTATACGCACGTGGTTGACTCATTATCACACCCCCCCCTCACAGCGTTAATCATCCTAGGTGGTTGAATATCCCCAGGGACCCGAATGATAAGATATAATTCAATGGAGACGGTCATTAACGGGTGGATCTTTAGAGCAGGGATGCCTAGGTAGGTATAACATGGGGTGGGGGTGAAGAGGGTGTGGGTGAAGGAGGGGTGGGGGTGAGGGGTGGGGTGAAGAGGGTGGGGTGAGGAGGGGTGGGGTTAGGAAGGTGAGGGGAGAGGTGGTGGGTGGTAACACAGCATAATAGTTAACGAGGTTATGGTCTAATCACCTCTCCTCCCCCCCTCCCCGCCACCTACCCATTTACTATCCCTCCTCCTCTCTTGTTCCTCTCCTTCTCTAGTGATGAACAGCTGTTGAAGAGAGAGAGAGAGAGAGAGAGATTCTCCCCACACTTCCCCCCCTCGACACTCATGAACCAAGATAATCGCAAACCACAGCGGTAATTAGAGTCGTTAATCCCACTTGGGAAGACCTCTACTGCAGCTCTTAATGACTCTCAGACAGTTGGATCCCTGATGAGTGGAAGGACTTCGTTTAGTGATCATTATCTCCTTTAATCACTCTGAGTTGTACACTGAGTGAAGACTGCTATTACGAGTGCCAAGAGTGTGTTAGCGGTATTAATGTGGAGGGGGGGTGTGTGAGGGGAGGAGGGGGTGTGTGTGAGGGGAGGAGGTGTGTGAGGGGGAGGAGGGGAGGGGGTGTGGAGGGAGGGAGGAGGTGTGAGGGGAGGAGGAGGAGGAGATTTGGGGAAGAGAAAGAGGGAGTAGAGGTGGAGCCGTGGGAGGAGAGGGAGGTTGAGGAGTAGAAGTTGAGGTGTGGAGGGAGAGAAGAGGAGGGTGAGGGATGTGAGGAGAAGAAGATGTGGATGTTGGAGAGAGAGACAGAGAGAGTCATTACCTCTCTTAATTAAGGTACTTTAAGCTGGCCACACCCTTCAGAACAACCTTAAATTCTCCTCAAATACACCTCATCCCTAAAATAATATTTCACATCCCTAAAAAATAACATAATAATACTTAAAATCAACAAGGCTCCTTAAACCACACTTACCTATCCTAAACACGTGTTATTCCCCTTAGTCACTTCCCCTCTCACCCCCTTCCTCTGCCCCCTTCCCGAGAATGCGATCAGCTGTTACTGGAACAAGTGTGGGACGTGTTCGACCATCCGTGGCTCTGTGTACAGCTGTTTCTGACACCACACACACCCTCCCAGTCACTCACCCATAGCATAACACACTCACGCACCCTCTGACAATATATTAACACAACTACGCACTCAGCCACACACCCTCCCAGACACGCACCCATCTGACAACATATATTAACACAACCACGCACTGACGCACTCATCTGACAACATATATTAACACAACCACGCACCCACGCACTCATCTGACAGCATATTAACACAAACTACGCACTTATACACCCACCCAGACACATGCACCCAAACCGATGTTAATCTCACCCACTGTTAAATTCACCAACAAATTAACTTTATCATAGTTAACCCAACAGCAGTAAACCTTAACAGCTATTAAGAATCATCTATTGTTAACTACCGCTATGAGTCAGTTCGTTTGTCTTTAATTCCACTATGTTAATCTTACCCCTGATGTTAACCTGAGTTACTATTAAACTAACCTAAGTTTAATCTCTCTCTCTCTCTCTCTCTCTCTCCCGACATACCTGACCAAACTCACGGAAAATCATCCAATTTGTAAGCGACGTCTCCCACCCCCTTACTACAACCTGTTCCAAGATGCGTTAATGTAGCGGAAGCCAATAACCTCAATCACGGTCAGTCAGCCGGTAAGCCAGCCATCCATCTAGTCAGTAAGCCAGCCGGTAAGCCAGCCAGTACGCCAATCAGTAAGCCAACCTTCCATCCATCCAGCCAGTAGAGAGAGAGAGAGAAAGAGAGAGAGCGTATTGAGATGAAATATAGGGAGGGATAGAGGCGGAGGGAAGGGGAGGGGGGTGATGGGAGAGGGGAAGATGGATGGGGGAGAGAAGTGGATGGAGGAGGGGGTGGTGGGAGAGAGGAAGATGGATGGAGAGGAGAGAGGAGAGAAGTGGGAGGGAAGAGGAGTGGGGAAGGTGGGAGGGAGGAGGGAGGGGAGGGTAGAAGATGTTTAATGGAGGGGTCAGGTTGTGTGCAAAGAGGCTTCCGTCTCTCTCCGTCCTACTCCTCTGAGAGACAAAACAGGGCGGAAACTGTGTCTTTAACTTCCATCATCAGTGAGAGACGACAAGGGGGGGAGGGGGTGGTGAGGTGATGGTGAGGGGAGAAGGAGGGGGGGAGGAGGAGGAGGGGGTGAGGGTGGGAGGAATGAAAGTGAGGGAGGAGGCAGAAGTTAGGATTGAAGGTAGAGGGAGTAGTTTAAGAGGAAGGGAGGAAGAGGATGCATAGGCGGCATAAAGAGGAGGTAAAGGGGATTCAGGTGTTGTAGAAGGAGGTAATAAAGTGGAGGGGTGGAGATAAAGAGACTCAACCGACGACAGAGTTAAAGTAGAGGTGACAGCCGGGGGGTAAGTGAAGGAGGAGGCAATACAATTAAAATAGAGAGAAAGAGGAAGAAAATAGGAAGTAGATTTACATGAGAAGGGAAGAACACAGAGAGAGAGAGAGAGAGAGAGAGAGAGAGAGACGCAAAAATCCAGGCCAAAAATCTTTCTTCTTAAGTGTTGTGCGGCATTTCCACCATCCTTCCATTTGTTACCTTCTCCTGTGCGTCTCAACTCTGCTCACACCCGCGTAAAAACATGACCCCCACACACACACTAATGGCGGAGAGAGCAACATTTTGAAGCTTTTTCCAGCCTCGCGGCATCAAGGAAAGTGCCATGCCGAACACAACAATGACGGGGCACGACAAACTTCCCACCTCGACCAAAGAACCCACATCATTATTCCATCTGGCGCTGGAAATTTTGGAAGGAAAGCCTCCAGTACCCCCGAGAGTGTGACCTGTCGCTAATGGCTGGTGCTTCCTGGAAAGCTTAATGCCTCCTGCAGACAATGGACGACCTGCACCCGACCTCCACCACAAAAGGACTCCAGTTTCGATTCGCGGCCACTTAAGGTCTGACGATGACACATAATGACAAGACCCCTCAGGTCAGACAATCCTTTCTAACCTCCCTCCTCCCCTCTCTCCTTCTTCTACCTCACCCCCCTTCCCCTCAGCTACCTCCGCCCTCTCCTCCGTCACTACTTTTCCAGAAGACTTTTCAGTATTTCAATAGTTGTGGCGGAGAGCAAGAGCGCATAAGGACTTGTTCTTTTCTTTTTTTATCGTGAATCATCTCCCCCGGATTAAAGTTGAAGCTACTGGGGGGGCTGTGGAAATGGCTCAGGATGGAAGGATCTCTGCACTCACGGAGATAATTGTCGGGATTTGAAAACAGAAAATATAAAGAATTGTGAGTTACTTACCTCCCATGCGAGGCCAGGGTCTTTAGCGTTGGCTGTCCACTTGCCGAGGAAGGGGCCGTAGCGGGTGCCTCGGGCAATGTTCTGCTTGGTCCACACGCCCACGCCTACGCCCGTGCTAGAGGGCCGCACCTCCAGCTCCAGGGGCACAGCTGACAGCTGCTGTGTAATGAATCTCTCGGCGGCCGCACTCAGCTCTGCCGCTGCACCTGCAGCGTTCATGTTGAGATCGTGGGCGTCTGCGTTGGTGGGCGTGGAGGAGCCGCGGTGGGCGTGTGGCGAGGACAGAGGGTCACGGGGAGACACTGACCCACCTTCGGAGTCAGCCTCGCTCAAGTCACACAGGTCACGGAAGGAACGATCGCCTTCCTCGCCCGGGACTGGAAGAAAGATAAAAAATATTAAGTGATATTAACAGACCAACACAACAACACGGGTCTCCTCACCTCATCCTAATATTATATAAAAATCCTTTTACCAAACCCCGCATACAGGAACCATCATTAGCGTGACATCCTTTATCTCTTGGGCTCAGTGACGTGCCCGTTGGACATAACAAAGCCCCGGGGGAGCGCATGACACATTGCAGCAGATGCGCATCCCCCCGCCCTCAACACGCCAGGCGTCCGCCCCACACCTTCCCTGACGCGGCCCCGTCACCCCTATATCCATCACAACACCAATTACCACATTCAGCAGAAAATTAACCAGCAATTATAACCTCCTTAGCTTGCCTGCTCGCCACAATGCGCGTCATCTGGCGGGGTAAGCTAGGTCTACTCGCCCTCGCCCTGGGCATTGTGGCGCTCCAGGACCTCGCCTGCCGAGTGTGGGAGCCTTTGTTTTATGCCATTGTGCGCCGGCAGGGGGGTACGAGGGTGTCCTGAGGCCCCACGTGACACCCCTGGCTAATATACTCCTCCTTGTGTATGATGATGATGATGATGATAGTGAAGAAAGACTGGATTATAACTAACTAATATTGATGATAATGATGGTGAAGATGAGAGTGAGAGAGAACTTGCTACTGTCACCATGGTGTAACTACTTGACTTTGCTCTTTAAGGTGATGGTGATAGTGATGGTGAAAGACCTCCTGACGTTGATGATAGTGATGGTCATGACGTCTTTGATACCCCCTTTTGTTATTATTATTGTTCTCATCACCACAGCTGTTGTTGTTCTCATTACTGATATTGTTCCTATTGAAGTCACCGCCTTAAAAAAAAAGTCCTATTTAGACCACGAGACGCCGGTACCGGATCGCGTTTCCAAAGGTCTTTTTTTAATCTTGATTTTTTAAGTGGGGATTTTTTTTATATCAAGGGAATTGTTACTCTACGGAGGCTACTGTTTTTCTCGGCTTTTGTTTACCTCAAGTCCTTTTGTTTTTTCGGCTCTACGGTCGCGGGCGCACGTAACCTGAAGACTTTTTTGTCCATCTAATAATTCGAAAAAAAAGACAAGATTTAAAGGACTATTTTTTATTCCTACTCGGGGTCTTAGTTTGATATTTTGTAAACAAGAGAGAGGAACGGAACATAACTAACCCTTTGATGATTGTAGAACGAGTGTGTTTGCTTTTTTTTTTACACGGTGTCTTTGTTTTAGTTGATATTTGTAAACAAGAGAGGAGGAAAAGGGAATTTTTTTAAAGGTCTGTGTTTACCTGATCCTACGATACATTTCATATTTTCTATTTATGTTTTGTATGTATGTATGTATGTATGTGTGTATGTATGTATGTATGTATGTATGTATGTATGTATGTATGTGTGTGTATGTATGTATGCATGTGTGTATGTATGTATGTATGTATGTGTATGTATGTATGTATGTGTATGTTGTATGTATGTATGTATGTGTATGTATGTGTGTATGTATGTGTGTATGTATGTATGTATGTATGTATGTATGTATGTATGTATGTGTGTGTATGTATGTATGCATACAGTGTCGTTTTTCTCTCCACATGTACACATGAAATATCTCCGTGTACGGATATGTATGCACTGTATGTGTGTGTAAATATCGGTGTGTATGATTACGTCCGTCCACTGTGTACGTATATTCGACATGGGCGTGCGTGGGTTTGTATGCTTAAGGACAGTGTGCCCGTGTATGAGTGTGTACGTAAGTGAGTAGATATGAACGTGACAGTGAGTGAACGGGCGTGTGTGTGTGTGTCAGGCCTGTGAACGTGCGTGTACGTGACTTAGCGTGCGCACTTGTACGTGAGTTAGGTGTGTAATAGTGATGAGAGACACATGGTGAAGGGCGTGGGCATATGTGGGAGGGCGTGGGCATATGCGGGAGGGCGTGGGTATATGTGGGAGGGCGTGGGTATATGTCGGAGGGCGTGGGTATAAGTGAGAGGGCGTGAGTAGACGTGGGGAGAAGGTGGGGTATATGTGAGGGCGTGGGTATACGGGAGAGGAAAGCGTGGGAAGGGAGGGCGGAGTAGACGTGGGAGGCGTGGGAGCATGTGGAAGGGCGGGAAGACGTGGGGAGGGCGGGTAGACGTGGGGGAGTATGTGGGTATATGTGGGAGGGCGGGCATATGTGGGAGAGGGTGTGTGAGATATGGGAGGGCGTGGGGTGACATGGCAGGGCGTGGGTATACGTGGGAGTGGCGGGGTATATGTGGGAGGGTGTGAGTATATGTGTGGTGGGCGTGGGTATATGTGGAGGGTGTGAGTATATGTGGTAAGGGTAGATGGGAGGGCGTGGGTATGGGAGGGCGTGGGCAAGGGAGGGTGTGAGTATATGTGGCAGGGCGTGGGGTGACGTGGGAGGGCGGGGCATATGGGAGGGCGGGTATATGTGGGAGGGTGTGGAGTATATGTGGGAGGGCGTGGGTATACGTGGGAGGGCGTGGGTATACGTGGGAGGGCGTGGGTATACGTGGGAGGGCGTGGGTATACGTGGGAGGGCGTGCAACATCGCTGGAAGACACAGGGTGTGGGTGTGGCGACCATTGTGGCTCACTGGTGCACACTGCTGAAGGCTTTGTGTCCACATAATCACGCAGGCCACCCCGCTCCGGGAGGCGTCGCAGCAGCGGGCATGACCTGATTCCTGTGTAGGGTGGAGGAGGTGGGGGAGGGGCGCTTTGCTGTGTTGCTGTAAAGGGGGGTGGAGTGTTGTGTTGTTGGGAAACGGAGGTTGTATTGCCGTGAAAGGGGGATGCTTGTGAGAAATGGGGGGGAGGGGTAGGGTTGTGATTATACAATATTGGGGTCACTGGAATGTTGTGTTGCTGTGTCGGTGGAAGGATGTGTTGCAGTGAGAAGAATGCTGTGTTTGTGCTGTGTTTTCGCTGTGTGTTGTGTGAATCTGTTGGTGGCACACACAAACACACACACACTCGATCAAACAAGGGAAGGAAGGTTTTGAGGTAAAGCAGGTCCCCTTCTCCTCCCGGTGGTGGCGATGATCGTGGTGATAGTGGAGGTGATGGTGGTGGAAGTAGTTGTGTTTGTGGTGGTAATGATGGTGGTAGAAGAGGCGATGGTCGTCATTGGTGGTCGTTGGTGGGGTATTTAGCCAAGAACACTCACTCCACATTGTTTACCAGGCCCGAGGCTGTGTGCGTGGACGTGTCCCAGCACCTCCCCTACTCCTCCCCCCCCCCACCTTTGCTCATCACCCCACCGACATGCGTCCCCATAATCCTCCCCCATCAACACCCATTTCTCCCCATCCTATACAACATCCTGATTAATGTTTCTACCCATGAGGATGAATCAAGGAGGTTTCTGATGGGTCCGAGTGATGGGGAGGAAGCATAGAGTGAATAAATGAGGTGGAAAAATTGGAGATGATAGTGGAGGCACAGCGAGGATGTACGTGCTGTGGGAGACACTGGTGTTGACAGAGTGGAGATGGGCTGGCCGCGGCGTCGTCGCTACACTCACACACACACTTGGCTTGTTGGCTCGCTATCCCTTATCTACCTGCCTTATCTCTCTCTCTCTCTTTGTTGCTCTACAATTTATATCTTACGTTAAAACAAACAAGTATACTCTTAAAAGACGGCGTAGCACAGGTAATGTTTCTAGTGTATTACGTCCAACAGTGAAGAGAGAGAGAGAGAGAGAGAGAGAGAGAGAGAGAGAGAGAGAGAGAGAGAGAGAGAGAGAATAACAAACACCCCGTCCTAATAAACCTAACCGTCCCTCATCATCGACTTTACAACCCGGGATTAACAAAGTGCATCAAAGGTTCCCACTTACGTTATCGAGACGCTCTCAAAATGACTGAGGTATCAACAGCTGTTAATGGCGGTCGGTGATGTCATAGAGGATCTTGTCAGGTGTCCACGACAACCTGAGGCGGCCATCTTGGGAGACATTGAGACGGATATTGGAGTGTCGAAGAGGAGGGGAGGGGGAGAGGGGAGGACCTGGGGAGAGGGGAGGACCTGGGGAGAAGGGACGATGAGGGAGAGAGGAGGGCGGGGAGTGGGAAGAGGAATCTGTGGTTGCGAAGAGGGTGGTCAAAGGTACCTAAGTGACCGTGTTTAGGGAGGATTGTTAGTGCTGAACAGGAAGAGGTGGGGGGGAGGGGGAGAGTTGATGTCATGTGGACAGTCCGTGGGAGGTATAAGACTCGTCCGTAGATACTAAGAACCGTTCGTAGGAGAGTTGAAACTGTCTGTCCTTACCTCTCCTCCTTCACCGCCTGTTCAGACACCCACAGGGACCTCACACCCCGAAAATTTTACGTGTTTAGTCGAGAGTTATGCAGGGAGGAGTGCCGCCCATCTCTGACACCGCATTAATGCCCATTTATATCCCGTGTGTTGGGCGGCACCTTTGTCCTCCGGCTATCAAACGACCCGACCACCTCGTTCGCTCATCAAACTCTCCGCACATCTGGGTTTGAGGGTGATGACGGAAAGCTCTTTTATGTGCGGGCGAAGATGGGCATTGGCTGAACTCTTTGGGGGTTGGGCAACGGTTGTCAGGATCAGGGGCGTCCGTGTTGGGTGAGGAGGAGGTGTGTTGAGGGAGAGACTGGGGAGCAATATATGCTGGGAGGTGGAGCTTATCAAACCCCCCAGCCCCAGGGACAGGAGGTGTCGATGTGTGTGTGTGTGTGTGTGTGTGTGTGTGTGCCCGAGCGAGGCAAGCCCGTGTGTCACTCATACAAACATGGACCACAAACCCACATTCCACTCCCACTCTACCTGCACCCCTGACTCTACCCAGACCACCCATCACTCCCCTACTCAGACCACCCCATATCACCCCCACTCCAGACCACCCCATCACACCCCTACCTGTGACCACCCCATCACTCCCTCACTCAGACCACCCCATCACTCCCCTACCCGTGACCACCCCATCACTCCCTCACCTGCAGACCACTCCCATCA